CGTGAACTTATTTGTAGACTGGCTGAAATGATCCAGTAGAGATGGAAAGGGCACCCATCCAGGACGGAGGAGCCAAAAGAAGGAATGACAATTTCATCTCAAGCAACAATCAGCATATTAAGTTAATGCTGATTGGAAATCTAGGACTTATAACTGTTTGTACTTAATTTGCAAATCTGTTTTGATCTTATTTAGAAAAGAAGTTGATACCTAGCTTCATCTACAACAGAAATAATCTGAGCCAACACCAGAGGCTTTCAGAAGTGTTTTCTATTAAAAGATCTATAATTACTCAATTTTGGCAAAAACTGCTACAGAAAATTCTTTTATATAAAGAATTCAGGAAACCTTTTTTTGTAAACTAAGAAGTTACTCAAGCCTCATGTTCCTTATTTATAAAACGAGGGGGATGAATTTCCAGAGCCCCTTCCAACTCGAACTAGGAAATTCCAGTTTGCCTGATACATAGCGTAAACTGTAACATAAACAGCAGAAGCCTAGCAAACAAAATGCGCTCTTTAAATTGTTCCTCAGCTGGGCTCCATGACTCAGCCTGTAATCCCAGCACTTTGGGAGGCCGAGGCGAGTGGACCGCCTGAGGTTGCGCGGTAGAGACCAGCCCAGGCAACTTGGTGAGACTTCGTCTCTACGATAAATCCAAAATTAGCCAGGCGTGGCAGTGTGCGCTTGTTGTTCCGGCTACTTGAAAGGCTGAGGCGGAAGGATTGCTGGAGCCCAGCAGGTCGATGCTGGGGTGGCCGTGAGTGTGCCACGGCACTCCAGCCTGGGCGACAGAATGAGACTCCAACTCAAAAAAAAAATTTGTTCCTCGGCTTTCTTTGAGTTGTGTTATCCAACATGTTTCCATCTTTCTGTGAAGTTCTGCTTTTCCGACTCTTTCATTCTCTTCCTTTCTAAGATGTGGGGTGGGGAACCTAGACATAGGATGCGGGCAAGCACACCAGGTGCCAAGTGTGACGAGGACTGATCCAACATCCGCAGGCTTGGTAAGCGCCCTTAAGGACTTTACATCTCTAGCCCAGGACTTTTTACCGTCCTCTTTGATCCCTAATAAACTCCATCTATGAACCAGGAAGCAGGCCCTCACCAGACACTCCATTTGCAGAGCCTTCAGAACTGTGAGAATAACTCCCTGTTGCATTTAAGCCTCCAGTCTATGCTATTTGTCACAGCAGCCCAGAACAGACGAAGATGCCCTGTGCACCCCTCCCCATTCCCAATTCCCTCTCTCCCACCACAGAGGTAACCCCTGTCCTGAAGTTTGTGATTCTCATTCCCACGCATGCATTTCATAGTTTTCTTACGTATGTATCTACACATTAGGTTTATTTTCTTATAGGTTTATATTTTACATACATGAGGTCATACTGTATGTCCTTTGGTAACTTTTTTTTTTTTGCTCAACTTTACGTTTTTGAGACTTAGCCATTAACTCTAGTTCACTCATTTTAGCTACTTTATGTAATTTCATTGTATGGACCGTACCAAAAGTCATTTGTCCTTTCTCCCAGTGACAATCATTTAGACTTTTTTCTATTGCAAACAGTACCCAATGGACAGTCTTATGCGTTTCCAATGCACACTCTCTCTGATGTATAACTAGACATTAGTTTTCTTAAGGGAGAAGATCAAAGATATAAACAATCCTGGCAAACAGCCCTCATTAATTTTATCTCTGTCCCATCTTTATATCCCTGGCTTCAGGTCTAGATTTGTTTTGATTTAGTCAGCAGAGCTTTAAAGAAGGAGCAAGGAGTCAGGTTAAAAAAACAAAAAATAAAACATCTGCTTCTCTTTGAACTGGAGATGTGAAGCAAGCTTAAAGAAAGCATGAATGTGAGTCATTTTAAAAGCCGTTGTCTTAACTCGCGAACTCTTCCTACAGAATCTGCCGATCAAAATCTATGGGTAGCATTTATGACAGTTTTTACCCATAATTTCAGGAACAAAAGGCTGCCCTGCCTGAATTTACCTAAGCCAGAGGTCAGGCTTAGACATTTTAGGCTTTGCAGGCCTTATAGTCTCTGTCACAACTACTGACCTCTGCCTTTGTAACATGAAAGCAGCCACAGACTGACTATACATAAGTTAACCAGCCAGGCTGTGTTTCAATAAAACTTTATCTATAAAAACAGAGAGTGGGCCAGATTTGGCCCATGGACCATAGTTTTCTGACTTCTGTTTTAAGCTGAAGAAAACAATTTAGACCAGCAATGTATAGTATTATACATTAAAAAATTTAATCTGATATTTTTTCCTTTCTGATCAACAACTATTCTAAAAACTAGTCCTAGTGAGAGTGCAGATAAATAAATACTCATGTACTGTTGGTAAAAGTGGAAACTGGTGCATTCATTTATTTTTTTAACAACGATAATAGCTGTAAGACCCACCATGAACAAAATATTCCACTGGGTACTGTAGACATAAACATAAATGCATATGCACCTGATCCTCAATGTACAGTACATGAAAGTAATTTTTTATCTGCATTCTCACAAGGGGATGGATATTTAAACATTCACTGGTTAAAAAGTGGTGAGATGAGATGACTCAAGCCTGTAATACCAGCACTTTGGGAGGCTGAGGTGAGAGGAATGCCTGAGCCCATGGGTTTGAGACCAGCCTGGGCAACTTGGGAGACCTCATCTCTACAATAAATCAAAATTTTAACCAGGCGTGGTAGCGTGTGCCTGTAGTTCCTGCTACTTGGAAGGCTGAGGTGGAAAGATCGCCTGAGCCCAGCAAGTTGATGCTGGGGTGGCCATGAGCATGCCACTGCACTCCAGCCTGGGCGTCGGAGTGAGACTCCAACTCAGAAAAAAAAAAAGTAATGAAATTAAATGTCTGCTAATCTCTTACTGAAAACATTTATAGTGACAAGAATATATACGACCAACAACAGCAGCAGTCATTAAAAATAAATATCATAGCTGGGCTTGGTGGCTCAGCCTGTAATCCCACGTCTTTGGGAGGCTGAGGTGAGTGGATTGCCTGAGCCCGCGGGTTCAAGACCCGCCTGGGCAGCGAGACTTCATCTCTACAATAAATCAAAAAATCAGCCAGGCGTGGTAGCGCATGCCTGTAATTCCAGCTACTCGGAAGGCTGAGGAAGAAGGATCGCCGGAGCCCA